AGCACAGAAACAGTACTATATAACATTTTAGACACATTCTAGACAGTTTATCAGCTAAAAAAAAGTTAATTTTGGGGTAAGTTACTCTTTAAAGACTGTGGCATAYAGGCTATAGGGCCCTGACCCGGACTCTGGGGACCAGTGACCACTGAACTAATTTTTATACAACTTAATAGGAATTTTGTTTGCAAATCGAATGTTTTGCATCTTAAATGTTTTTGGTAGTTTTGTAGTGAGAAATCTTCTATCAGACTTTATTTATTTATTATTATTTTTTTTGGCACAAATCTAATTCCATACAGACCCCGCAGTTTGTTCAGTGGACCATCTGTGGGACCCCGACCCAGACATTGGGGATCACTGAATTTCTCTGCAGAAATGTTCTCCAGGTTTTTATTTAATTTATTTATTTTTATTATTTGACTCTTCAGAGAACTGAAGAATATGTCTGAGTCTTTGTTTATGTTGTGTTCTGGTCGTGTCCCAGCGGAACCGGACCGGAGCGGCAGGAATGCAGCGTTCGGTCCCGGGCAGCAGCAGACGTGACGTCGCTGGTTCCGAGCAGAAAAACCGAACTGGGTTAAAGTTTTCTGTGACGAAAGAGAGAGGGAGAGAAAAAAAAGGTCCTAAAATAGTCTGAAGTCTGTCCGGGAGGCGGCCGTGTTCGGACGGTTCGGTTCTGAAATGTTCCCTGAAGCTGTTGTTGTTTGTTTCATCGCGTTTTTGACCCAAAGCTGCTTCTGTGAGGAGGAGAACCATGAGGTTCTGGAGCAGACCCAGCTCGCAGACTTTTACAGTAAGTTCCTTTCATTCAGCTCAGAAGTTCTGCTCATCGAGTCCGGACCGGTTCGGTGCTTTAAAACKGTAAAACTGCAGATTTTTGTGTTTCAGGAGATGAAGATCAAAGTTAAATCTGGTCTCAGATTATCTCTGTAATCTCAGATAAACGCCTTTATGTAATGGGATTAAAGAAACTTAAAACGATCTGTTGTTAAAAAACATTAAAATTTAAACTGAAATATATTAAATACTGCAGTTTAAAGTTATTTACTCCAGTAGATTTACAGAAATGTGGATGTAAAATGATGAAATGCAGGTCTGCTCTCAATGTAAACAAAACAGTCAGCTAAAAATGAGACTTTTTTATTGCTAAAGAAAGAAGGACGAATAAATTAAACGGCTTTTCCATAAAAAAATCTTCCTTTATTTGAACTTAAAAACCAAAATCCAAAACACTAACTAAAAAACGAAATAAGCAACATGCTTGCTAAAAACTTTAAAAAACAAAAATAAATAAGATAAGTATAGAAATAAGCTAGCTAAAGGCTTAAATATTTGAAAGGGCAATGAAAAGCTAAAGGTAGAAAAAAGCTATAATGCTYAAAACATAATTAGCTAAAAGTATGCTATTTAAATATTTAAAATAGCCAAAGTTTAGCTAAACATAGCAAATGGCTAGCTAAAAGCGAAAAGCAGTAAAAGGATAGCTAACAGTTTAAAGCAGAAAAAGCTAGCTAAAGGCTTAAATCTTAAAAAGTGTCATTAAAAGATAAAAGAAGCGGAAATCTTGCTAAATAGTAAATATAATCCAAAAGTAGTTAAAAGCTAAAAGTTGAAAAATACTAGCTAAGTTCAAAATGCGGTAAAAGAACAGCTAATGGCTTAAAGTATAGGCTAGCTAATCGAAGCAAAATGTTAACTAAAAACTTGAAATGGCCGAAGGCTAGCTAAACTAAAAGCTAAATTTAAAATMAAAAATGTTCCAAATTAAAGGCCCAAAATGCTAGCTAAAAGCTTGTTCTGTTCAGCTAAAAGTGGCAAAAGGRTATAAAAACTCTTAAAGCAAAAATGCTAGCTAAAGGTAGCTAAAYGCTAGCTATAAGCTAAAAAYAGTAAAAGGTTAGCAAAATGCTAGCTAAAACATCTATGTAGTTAAAGGATAGCTGACGGCCTTAAGTAGGAAAAGACTAGCTAAAKGTARCTAAGTGCTAAATGTAAACTAAAAGTAGCAAAGTGTAATAAAAGGGAGTGAATTGGCTAGCTAAAATCAGCTAAAGCATAACTGAAAGGAGCTAAGCTAAAAAGATCAGGTTGTTTTGATGTATTATTGTAGTTTTACAAAGTTTTACGTCTAAAGAGACGAAGCAGAAAAGAAAAACAGTTTCTGTGGAAAAACGGACGGACCGACAGAAATGTGGAAGTAGTTTTAGAGCTGAGAGAGGCTGAAGGAGTCAGCGTGTAACCTGCTCTGGGTGAGGAGGGTCAACAGGAAGTGCCCTTGTTTCAGCGAGCCGATGCCAAAACGCTCTGCTGGACGTCACCGGCTGAAGTTTCTCTGCTCCGCAAAAATAAAAGCATAAACATCTTTCAACATTTAAAAAAATAAGAGTTGGTTTGTTTTTATTTTCTTCTCTCTGTTTGCAGGAAACAGTTTCTTCATCCTGGAGAGTCTGCCTCTGAAGCGCTGCGTCCTGGCGGACCGGTCCGGTCTGGTCCTGGAGGACTGCGAGCGCCCCACGCGCCGCATGCTGTGGAAGTGGGTCTCCAGGCACCGCCTCTTTAACCTGGGCGCCGCCGCCTGCCTGGGCCTCAACGCGTCGGACCCGGCGCGGCCTCTGAGCATGTTCGAGTGCGACGTGGTCTCGCCCATGCTGTGGTGGCGTTGCCACGGAAACATGATGTACGGGGCGTCCGAGTGGAAGGTGACGGTGTCCGGCCGCTCGGTGGTGGCGAAGAAGAACATTTACCACGAGTGGAAACGACACGACACGCCGAGAGAAGGTCCCTGTTCCCACCCGTACCAAGGTAGGACCACCAAACAGTGTCCGTCCAAGTAAAGCTAAGCTAAGAGCTAAAAGTTAGCTGACAAAGCTAAAAGAAGCACAAGAATCACTAAAAGTCTGGCTAAAAGTAGCAATAGGCTAGCTATAAAGAGAAAAAGGCTAGTTAAATGCTAAATGTAGCAAAAAGTTAGTAATATGTGCAACAAGCTAGCTAGAAGCTAACTGAAGCAAAACCATAGCTAACAGCTAAAAGAAACAACAAGCTAGACAACAAGTAAAGCCATCTAAAAGCTAAAACCTAAAAGTTAAGAATGGGTAGATAAAAGGGGCAAAAGCAGGCTAAAATCAAAGTGTAAACTCTGAAATGATCAAATCAGTCGCTAAAAGTACCAAAAGGCTAGACAGTAAAACAACAGAAGGCTAGCTAAAAGTAAAAAAAGCTGGAGAAGAAAATAACAGAACAGAAGTTTAGCCTATAACTAAAGTAWTAAAAGTTAGCTAAAAATCTAAATCTAGCAATGTGATAGCTAAAAGTAGAAAAAAAGCTAAACAAGAAAAAAAAAGAACAAAAGGCTAGCTAAAACGTAGCTAAAATTAGCAACATGTTAGCCAAAAATAAAAAAAAAAGACTGGCTAGCTTAAATGTAATTGTATCAGATTGTTAGCTAAAAACTAAAAGTAACAAATGGCTAGTTGAAAGCTAAAGGTAAAAAATGCTAGCTATAGGTTAGTTAAAAGTAACCACAGGCAGCTAAAACTTCGAATTAATAACAAAAGACTAGCTTAAAAACTACAATTAGCCATGTGCTCGCTAAATGGAAAGCTAGAAGCTAAAACTGTCAACAGAAAATCTAAAAGTGCTAAAAGGATAGCCAAAGTAGCAGAACAGCAGATTTAAGCTAGCATAAGAAAACCAAAACTGCCAGCTGCTGATTATAAAAGCTAAAACGTTTTTGGAATAAATTGAAACGATGTATTTTTCTGGGAAATTTGTAAATAAAGTTTAATATTTTTAATTGTTTCAAAGTGAGCATACTTGTTTTTTAAATGGGCTGAATGTTACAAAAGCTAAAGCAGCACAAAGTTTATAAGCAGTATAATGCTGACTCAGCGATCCTGTTTTGTGTTTTAACCTTGATAATGTTTTTGACTGACAGAAGTCCACACCTTACAGGGAAACGCACACGGCTATCCGTGTGTTTTCCCCTTCAGCTACAACAACAGGTGGTTCTCTGAGTGCACCACCGAGGGCCGCGAAGACCACCTCCACTGGTGCTCCACCACCGACCGCTACGACCAGGCCGAGAGGTGGGGCTTCTGCCCCGTGGAAGGTAACCTGCTCTTAGTGGGGTCCCGCCTTTTTAATCTGGACATTTATAATCTGGACCTTTAGTTCTAAATCTGGGCCTTTACATTTTTAATTTGGGCCTTTACATTTTTAATCTGGACCTTCAGTTTTAATTAGGAGCTTTTGTTCTTAAACTGGACCTTTATTATCTGGACTTTTGGTTTTTAAATCTGGGCCTTTAGTTTTAATCTGGACCTTCATAATCTGGGCCTTTATGTTTTAATCTGGACCTTTAGTTTAAATCTGGACCTTTATAATCTGGGCCTTTATGCTTTTAATCTGGGCCTTTAGTTTTAATTTGGACCTTTATAATCTGGGCCTTTAGTTTTTAATTTGGTCCTTTATGTTTTTAATTTGGTCCTTTATGTTTTTAATTTGGACTTTTATGTTGTTAATCTGGGCCTGTACTTTTTAATGTTTTTTTTTTAATTTGGGTCTTTACCTTTTAATCTGGGTCTTTAAGTTTTTAATTTAGGCCTTTATTTTGTTAATCTGGGCCTTTAATTTCTAATCAGGGTCTTTACGTTTTTAATTTAGGTCTTTATTTTGTTAATCTGTGCCTTTACTTTTTAATCTGGGTCTTTTTAATTCAGGTTATTACTTTTTAATTTGGACCTTTACGTTTTTAATTTGTGCCTTTACTCTTTAATCTGGACCTTCATAATCTGGACCTTCAGTTCCAAATCTGGACCTTTAGTTCTAAATCTGGACCTTTAGTTCTAAATCTGGACCTTCAGTTTCAAATCTGGACCTTTAGTTTTTAATTTGTGCCTTTACTCTTTAATCTGGACCTTCATAATCTGGACCTTCAGTTCCAAATCTGGACCTTTACTTTTTAATCTGGGTCTTTTTAATTCAGGTTATTACTTTTTAATTTGGACCTTTACGTTTTTAATTTGTGCCTTTACTCTTTAATCTGGACCTTCATAATCTGGACCTTCAGTTCCAAATCTGGGCCTTTAGTTTTTAATTTATGCCTTTACTCTTTAATCTGGACCTTCATAATCTGGACCTTCAGTTCCAAATCTGGACCTTTACTTTTTAATCTGGGTCTTTTTAATTCAGGTTATTACTTTTTAATTTGGACCTTTACGTTTTTAATTTGTGCCTTTACTCTTTAATCTGGACCTTCATAATCTGGACCTTCAGTTCCAAATCTGGGCCTTTAGTTTTTAATTTATACCTTTACTCTTTAATCTGGACCTTCATAATCTGGACCTTCAGTTCCAAATCTGGACCTTTAGTTCTAAATCTGGGCCGTTACTTTTTAATTTTGGGCCTTTACGATTTTAATTTGGATCTTTACCATTTTAATCTGGGTCTTTAATTTTTAATCTGGACATGTAGTTCTTAATCTGGACCTTTATTCTCAGCCTCAGGTTGTAATCACTTCTGGGACTGGAACCAGGACCTGCCGGCGTGTTACCAGTTCAACCTGTACACCATCCTCACCTGGACTCAGGCGCAGTCCACCTGCCGGGCTCAGGGCGGGAACCTGCTGAGCGTCACCAGCCTGGAGGAGCACAGGTACATCAGAGGTACGGTGGACCCAGACCTCTGGACCAACCTGGTCACAGTTTCAGGTCTGTTCATGACCTCTGCTGATGTTCTGATAATTCTGGGTCAGACCGTCTGTCCAGTTCTGGAGCCATGGTGTGGATCGGACTGAACCACCTGAAGGACGGGCGGGGGTGGCAGTGGTCTGACTCGGCGCCGCTGGCCCTGGTGGATTTCACCACAGGTTCAGATTATTAGTGTCCTGAATGTTCGGATGTGGTTTGGATCAGAACCGTGTTGATCAGAACCTCTCTGCAGCTCTAGCTTCCAGCCCGTTGGAGGACGACCTGCAGTGCGGCGTTTTCACCTCGGCGTCCGGCGGCCAGTGGCAGAGTCTGTCCTGTGAGGCCGCGCTGCCGTACATCTGCAAGAAGACGCCCAACGTCAGCGCCGCCGCYGAGCCGTTCGGTGAGAGCGGGTCGACCGGCGCCGGCAGACGTTAAAATCTTAAACGTACCGGATCTATTTTAGCTTTCAGCTGTTGTTCTGCAACTTTTAGTTACACATTTTCTTGTTTTAGCTAATATCTATGGTTTTAATTTTAGGTTTTATCCAAGGTTTTGCTAATTTTAGCTTCTTTAAATGCTTTCAGTGTTTCGTTAACACTTTTTAGCTACGATTTAGCTACTTTTAGCCATGTTTTTAATTTAAGCTATAGCTACATTTTAGCTATTTTTAGCTCTTATGCATAATTTTGTCATGTTTAGCTTTAGCTTCCATTTTGCTGTTTCTATAGTTTTCTTCGTCGTAGCTTAGTTTTTTGTTAATTTTAGAATTTCATCAAGGTTTTGCTATTTTTAGCTTCTTTTTAGCTACTTTGCTACTGTTTTTTAGTTGTGGTTTTGCACCTTATAGCTATAATATTGTTGATTTAAGCTTCTAGCTAAAGTTTTACATTTTGTAGCATTATTAAAGATTTTGTCACTTTTAGCTTATAGCTAATAATTTTCTTTATTTTAGCTTTTGGCTATGGTTTTGTTAATTTTTGTGTGGTTTTTTTTCGAAAGTTTTGCTATTTTTAGCTTCTTTTGATGCTTTTAGCATTTATCTACCATTTCTTAGTTATGCTTTGGCTTCTTTTAGTTATAGTGTTGTTAATTTAAGCTTCTCGCTAAAGATTGATCAATTTTAGCATTTATTTACGTTTTTGTCACCTTAAGCTTATAGCCGACATACCACTATTTTTTTGTTTTTAGCTATCATTTAGCTTTTTGAATAGTTTTCTTATATTTAACCTTTAGCTGTGGATTTTCTTTATTTTTTTTTTGTTTGTTTTGATATTTTAGTTTTTTTGTCTACAGTTCTTCTACTTTGACCTTTTAGGTGTTTTTTTATTCTAGCTTTTAGCTATGGTTTAGTTAATAGTAGCTTTTAGCTAATGTTTTGCTAATTTTAAGTTTCAGTAACTGCTTTGCTGATATTGACTTTCAGCTTCTGTTTTTCTACTTTTAGTCACAGTTTTGCTCATTATAGCTTTTAGCTGTTGATTTGCTACATTTCTGGTGATTTTAGCTTTTTGTAGCTAATTGTAGGTTTTAGTCTTTAGCTCATCTTCTTCCTCTTCCAGAGAACTGGCAGTACGTCCGGACGGAGTGCGCCGCCGGTTGGTGGGCTCACAACGGGTTCTGTTACCGGGTTCTGCCAGAAGCCGAAGCAGGAAGCTGGGAGGACTCGTCCCGGGCCTGCGGCTCTCTGAGGGCGAACCTCAGCAGCCTCCACTTCCTGTCGGAGGTGGAGACGCTGCTCGGCCTTCTGGGAAACTGTAAGCATCAAAACCAGACCCCGGAGTTCTGCTGGTCTCACCGGAACCATGAATAGTTCTGTGTTTTTGGGTCTCGTCTCTCAGATTCCGGGTCGGGTACGGAGTTCTGGATCGGTCTGCAGAAACCGGCGTCGTCTCCGGCTGTGGAGTGGTCCGACGGCTCGGCGGTAACCCTCACTCTGTGGCACCGGTACCAACCCGTTCACAACCTGTCAGACCCAACGCTCTGCACCAAACTGGACCCAACGGTGATTCTCATGAGCTAAAATCATCAGAACTGAAGCTAGAATCAGCTAAACAACAGCTAAAAGCTACAGTTAACAGTAAATTAAAGCTTTAAACCTAGCAGAGCTGTAGCTTAAAGCTAAAATAAACAAAGCAAAAAACTAAATGCTAACATTAGCAAACAGCTACTGTATATGCTAAAGTAGGCATAACAGTTGTTAAATGCTAAAATAACCAACAGTAGCCACTAGCTAAAAACTAAATTTGACAACATTAAGAGTCAAAAGCTAAAATTAGCAAACCTGTAGCTTAAAGCTAAAATAACAAAATACTATTTCAGTTACAATTAACAAGCAACAAAATCTAACAGGAATGAAACAATAGCTAAATACTAAGATACTAAGAGAACAGTTAATAGCTAATGTTAGCAACACCATAGCTAAAAGCTTAAATAAAAACTAGTTAAAAGCTTAAATTAGAAAAACAAAAGTTAAATACGAAATTGAACAAAACAATAGAAAAAAGGTAAGATTAACAAAACAGGAACTAAAAGCTAAATTTACGAAAACAGTATCTTAAAGCTAAAACTAACAAAACTGTAGCTAAATTCTAAAATGAACAAATTACTGGTTAAGGTAAATTTATCAAAGCATCAGGTAAAAGCTAAAACAAACCACACAATAGTTCAGATTAAAATGAACAAAACCATAAATGCTAAATGTACATAAATCAACTGAAACCTTAATAAACTTGTTTTTAAACTCATAATTTAATAAAAACACTGGCTTAAAGATAAAATCAACAGTGAAGAAATGCTAAAATTAGCATAACAGTAGCTGAAAGTTAAAACTTACAAAACAATAGCTCAACATTAATATGAGCAAGACAGTGGCTAAGAGCTAAAAATAAAGCAGGAAAACTGATGTAGATTTTTAAAAGCACAAAGTTTTTTTAGTTTAACTTTTATTTTAACAAAACAAAAGTTCCAGCTGTGATGTCCTGAACGAGCCGAAGGTTTTGACTAGATAAGCTGTGTGCTGAAGTTTGTGCAGTTAAAAAGGAAAAYGAGTTTAACCTGAATTCACTTTTTAAATTGAAAGTAAAATAAATAAAGTTCTGTCTCAGACAGGAAACTGGATTTTAGCCTCGTGTGACGAGAGACACCCGGCTGTGTGCAGGAGAGAGAGTCCCAGTCCGGTCCAGCATCAGACCTGGGACGAAGGATGTCCTGCGGTACACACACACACACACACACACACACACACACACACACACACACACACACACACACACAC